CGACGCTGGACACGGTCAACAATCTCGGGGTCCTGTACTACAGCCAAGGCAAGATGGCGGAGGCGGAGGAGATGTACTTGCGGGCGCTGCGCGGGTACGAGAAGCTGTCATGGGTCTCGCCGGCTCGTATAAAATTCGTGAAACAGTCTTTATCATCTTTGCGCGAACGACCGAGCCGCTCTCACAACGAGCAATCGAGCGAGAGCATCCCACGCAATGGCGACAACTATGCGATACTGTCGGCGACACCTCTGAACACAGGGGTTGCAGAGAGTCCCAAAGCACTTAGCAAGTTAATGCGCAAGATGTGGAAACGCTCGTAGCTCAGATAACCTTATGAATTGAAGTTCTTTATGTAGTAAATTCTCATGTCAATCTAAGATAATGTTCCTAAAGAAACTTGAACTGATCATTCTTGTATCGCGTTTTTATCATCTCTACGAGGACTGTCGGTGATTGGACAATCCACAAGAACTAACTGTACAGACGAAACAACTGGCGCTGTAGACCACAGTGGTTTTAGAGCCCTCGGTGTGGACAGGTGTGCTTGGATAGATTATGGAGGCGTATAGCATGGCTCCTCTAGAGTCCTCGGCCGCGAGCATGACTCAGCAATTGAGGTTCGAACACGATACCATGAACGCCCACGGCGGCAGCGCTCGGGATCGCGCAACCTTCGTCTCGTGAAGATAATACTGAAGGTAGCCGTAGAGCTACTTCTGAGCGATCGATAGAGGCAGATGAATATGTATATGGATTTGTAGTGTGCCTGTATGAAACGATCGATCGGTCAGGTCGGATTTCGCACAAGGACGGAATCGATGACAGCGTCTGCAAGATGAACCCAAGTTGGACGTAGAGCGGTCGACAGGAAGCTGGCATTCCGGTCTACACCCCAGATATGTTGGCGCACATTGACACAGCTGTTGCAGAATACTATAGATGAAAGTGTTCAATGCTGGCTCGTTACGCAGGGTGGCTCGCGACGCCGGGAGGGACGTTAGGCAAGGCTGGGAGGCAGTGAGGGAGACGGATGGCATGGCACAGATGGGTCCGCTCGAACCTCAGCGTCACTCGAAGCTTTACCATCACGACAAGACACAGTCACCTTACCTTACAAGATCACACAGCGTCGCGTTGGGAGGGAGGTAGCAGTAGAGTGTATCTTGTCATGTTCATTAGAGTCTTCGCGGATGAGGTTAACGATGATGATAATAAAAAAGTGAGTTCTTGCGAGACGACGGAAACGATTTCCATCGCGACGACGAAGAGCGAGGTGTAAAAATGAGAAGGAAAATAAAAGATGGGATGACGTGTGATGCCACGCGATCGTGCCCCCGGAGGAACGGAACAACAACTTCTCTCACCAAACTTCGAGAAGAAAACAACAGCAGGGTGTGACTTCCCTCCCGACGGACGAAAACAACGGGAGAAAAAAAAAGGAATGACGCTTGACAGGAGTAAAAGGCTTTGCTTCTTCAGGCTTGTGTTCTATGAAATAGAATGAGAGAGGGAGCTGGCATGAAAAACAAAGGCGACCTTTTCAACGCATCCACCACGTCGAGATCGGCGGTGGCGGCGGCGGGACTTGACATGTCCTCCTCCCCCAGCATCGTCGTCATCAGCAGCGGCGAGACGCTTAGAGGGCGGCGACGAGGCCGAAGGCGGCAATGAGGCCGGCGAAGCCGAAGGACAGCTTGGCGGCGTCACCCTTGGCGGCCTGAGGCGAGGGCGAGGTGTAGCTGGTCGGGCCGGAGGCGGTGCCGGTGGTCTTGGTGCCGTTGGACGGGTGGTAGGCGGAGGCCGGGGCGGAGACGGCGGCCGAGGCGGCGGCGGAGCGGGTGGGCTTGACCAGGGTGGTGTAGACCGGGGGAGGGGCGATGGTGCTGTGAGAGAAGGTATGTCAGTATGGGGTGTTCTTTGCCTCTTTCGTGATACAGTCTCGGAAGGGTGCCTCTGGTGCTGATGTACCAGGTAGAGCAGACGGTGACGACTGACGTGTAGACGGCCTTGGTGACGGTGGCGGCGGGGATGGTCAAGGTGGTGGCCTGTGGAAGCAATGACGGATTAGTATTCTTTCTTTCTTTGGAGTCGTTCTTCTGTGTGTGATATTTCACTCTCACTCTCTCTCATCGCTTTCGATGAGCATGGAAAGAAAAAGGAGACATACCGAGGTGACGGAGTAGGTGACGCCGCCGTGGGTGATCTGGGTGGCCTCCGGGCAGTAGGTGGTGTAGGCGGTCACGACCTCGGTGGTGTACTTGTCGGCGGTGGGCTTGGGGTGCTCAGCGGCGGAGGAGGTGGTGTAGACCGGGACCGGGGCGGCCTCAGTGGTGGTCGGGTACTCGACCGGGGCGGGAGGAGCGTAGGCACCCTGGACGGCGACGGCGGAGAAGCCAATGACAGCAGCGGCAGTGAAACGCATCTTGATGGTTGTTTTGGGGGGGGTTGGTTGGTGGAAGTTGATGAAGTTGGATAAGGATCGCGTGGGTGGTTAACGAGTGACTGTGGTTGGAAAAAACCGTGAGTTGGAGTACGTCAAAAGAATGCTGTGTGAGGAAGAAGAGAAGAAGGAGAGAGACGAAGAGTGAGAGGAATGGCCGTCTTTATTTGCCTGGCTCTCCGGCTTGGGAGAGGAGAGAGAGAGCAGAGAGGAGGAATTGGCCGTGGAGGTCTGTCGCACGAACCGCGCGACCG